CCGTCCCCCCGCCTCTCCTTCCTTTACCACGGCGGCTCTTTCTAATTAAATCAACAGGTTTCTACAGTGCGGTCTTTGCCTGGTAATTGGCTGCTTGGTGGAACTCTGCTGCTGCAAACAAATTGGATAATTACCCCTAAAGTGGCGTCCATGTCAGGGCCTCATTCACCTGCTTTCATTTTGGGCATTGTTATTGCTGTTGTTGTTTTGTTAAGCCCACATAAAAGGTAATTAAAAAGGCTAATTGAAGCCATGGAATGCAAAGTGCTGTTTGAATTTTCAACCCGCTTGATTTTGCTCAGTTATTTAAGGCTAGATTTATTTTGTAATAACCCAATCAAGCAACGGCCCATGGTTGAGTTAAATTATACAGACATTAACAGCGGGTAAATCCATATGAGCAAACATGTAGGCAGGTAATTAATTGGTTTTCTTTTGAAAATATTTGTCATTATTTGTAATATTTATGACTTAATTATTTAAAAAGTTTAACAAGTGCAATTAAAAATGTAAATAAATATAATTATGTGAAATAATTGCAAATTAAAACCATAAATGTCAGCATTAAGCGGTCCAGATTTTGCAATTATCTGTATTTTTTCAATTGCTTTGTTGCCCTTATTATTGTAATTATTATGAACATGTTTTTGTGAATTTGAGCTTTCCACTGTGGTTTTGATTGTTACATGCTGAATCAWATTATCCATCCTTTTATTAATTGGTCTGGTTTAAAAAACAAATCTAAAATAAAGGGCTGTAAGCTGAGTTAATTAAATTCTCCTCACAAAGCAACTTGCCGTCCCTTCAGGCTTCAGAAAAGATAAGTCTGAACGCTGTTGTCTTAAATTAAAAAGGCTCAGGGCACTGCCACTAAACTCTCTAAAATGAGTTTTTCTTATTCGTATTAGAGTCAAGAAGAAAGGTCCGTCTACATTAACAAACATTTGTGTTCATTTTGGCTTTCGTGAATAAATGAGAAAGGAGCTACACCTCCGTTTGTCAACACACACACACACACACRCACGYGYGYGYGTGYGTGTGTGTGTGTGTGTWTRTTTTCAAGTCACACTCAGCTGTGGTGTGTGTTTGGTGAATTATCTCTGAAATGACACGGCACTGATGTGCTTCATTTAGTCTCTGAGTGAAGCAAGCCGGCCTCTGCAGCTTTTTATTAGTCACATTAACAGTTATTTGCTAAAAATCTGGTATTTTCAACACACCATGAGTCCTTTTTTGTTTCTTTAAAATAAACCAAGTTCAAAAGATGATGTTCAGATACTAAATGTCTGCATTWATTCTGTTAGATTAGTGATTCTGTGAGCACGAGTTTAAGTTACAGCTCATCTTCCTTTAACCACAGGAGACATCAGGTGTCATTGTATAGGCTGGTTTTACATTTTTTAAAATAAATGTGCTAATTACAGTAACTAATTTAGGTTTTCATGTTTTTTTATTCAGTGCCTCAAAAGAAGTTCTCGTCTCTTAAACTTTTCCACATTTTGCCAAATTACAACAACAAACTTTAATATATTTTATTGAGATTATATGTGATGGACCAACATTTGATCCATTAATTTCAATCAAAAAAATATTTTTTCAATCAAAATAAATAAAT